GGAGATGCAAAGAAACAAATAAGCTATTGTTTATCCTCTGCTGCACCTTCTGTACCCACAGGCAAGGAGATACCAGAAGTATGCAAACCTAATTGTTACAATATTTATCAACTTTGTGTACCATGTCCCCAGTTGGCATGGTTCCCTCTCAGGCATAGACTGAAAAATTAAAAAAAAAATCCCAGAACAATAACAAAAAAAATCACCAATTTCATTTCTTTTGCTAGTGAAAGCCTCTGTGATTCCTATTACTCCAATGAATTTCTAGTAAGTTTCTCCATAAACTAGAATTTGGCAGACTTTGCAAAACATTGTTATACATGTGCTTTTCCCACTGTTCTGTTCTGCTGGATATTGAACACATCTGATAAAATGTCTCTGGGAAGTTCTTACTGTTTGATGGGGAAGAGGAGTTGCACAAAAATGGAAGAAAAGGTGACAATAGACCAGAGAAGCTGCTTATTTAAAGCTTGTTCATGTGCAGAAATGGATGTTAGAGTTGTTTAATGGATGAAGGTATAGTTGTGCTTAAGAAACCCTGAGTGTACTAGCAGGCTCCCCTTAACTCTTTGGCAAGTCTATGGTATCTGATAAAAAAGGAAAATGCTCCTAATTCTAACAGCATCATGCGATGCTCTATTACAGGGTCTGCGTAAGGGCAGAGCAAAACAATATGTGGATGGGATTGTCACAGTTCCCTAAAAACACAGTGGTGTGAAGACATAATTCATCAATAATGCATAGTGAAACGATCCTTAGTGCCCTAACATGATTGAATTTCTGGATTTTCTGGGATGTGGCTAATGCTGAGGAAGCAGTGCAGCGTGCAGTGCAGTATGATGTATCTAACTTGTGTACTTCAATTGCTGATCAGTTCTGCACGAAGGTCAGCACAGGCTGAGCACATCCAAGTCCCTCCCTGCCTTCTGAGGGCATCTTGTAGGATTGTTTTAACCTTTAGGGCCAATGGCTCATCTGGTTGGTGTAAGATTTCAGTGCTAACAGTGGGTCTCACTGTAAAATGGCATCACTCTTGGAAAATTTACTTTGATCTCTATTTTATTTTTTCATTTTTTTTCTTTCCAGAAAACTTGGAACTGATTTTTAATCAGGAAAGGTATCTGAAGACAGTCTTGCCTTTTGATGAGAAAGAAGTGAAAAGGAAACAGGCTAAAAATTATTTTTGTGGTGGAAATGCTATCAGGATGCCCCCTTATTAGGTGGGGTTGCTTATGCTTGTATTAGCCACTGACTAGGCTTTCTGGCAGGGCTAACTATCCCATGACATACCACAGTCCTGTAGCTCGCTTGTTTTTATTTCCTTATTAACTTAGCTCATGGAGCAGGTGGACATGGGAACGTCCACTGCATTTACTCCTAAAATCTCTCATAGTACAATTTACATTCTAACAGCAGCAAAAAACTTAAAAACAATAAATAATTGTACTTTTCCAGGTCTTCCCTGTGTAAGAAAATAGTTTGTTTGCATTGTATTGCAGGTGTGTAATTTTGCATTCAAGATTTCTGTGTACTTACACTCTTGGTGTGAAGAAGCTACATGCTCATGTGTATGTTTCATCTGCATAGGTTGCACTGAGAGATTGCTTTTAGTTTCTCACCTAAGATAGGGGCAATGGGAGGAAAACTTTGTAACAGGCAGGAAAATGGATGTTAATCATCATCATCAGTAGTCTGCTGCATGTGCACCCACATAGCTCTCTTAAGAAGATATGAGAAGTCCTAAGGTGCTCTTCAGAAACCAAGTAATGGCTTTCGGTTTAGCCAGTTTGCAGCAGATGTGATTGCAAGGCTGAGTGTTGAAAGCATGGTTGTTCCAATCTGTGTGGCTGACAGATGTTGTGGAATGGGTTATTAAAATTGTTCTTCAGGGAGCAACTGAAGATGTGTTAGAGCCTGGATAAAATATTCAACCGGATTCTCATGACAGGCAGCAATAATGCAATACTAAATGCAGGCAAAAACCTCTTCAACAGGAAGGAATTATGTCAACTCTCTTATGTCTCCTGTATGGCGAATCATGGTAGTTGCATGCCTTGTTCCCAGATTGGATGGTTTTTTGCTACTATAGACATGTAGCACAAACTTTAGGACATAAGAGGTGGCGAATTCCCATGTATATATTGAATGGAGTGATCTATAGCTGCTCTTTTATTTTTAATCTCAGAATAATTGGAGCAGTAGCAGAAATGCTTTCAGGGCTTTTGCATGGAAAAATCTTTCTTTATTTTCTGACTATAGAATTTCATTAACCATAATCAGAGGGAAAGCGATTCCTGATTGAGGCATTGGGTCAGGTGTGATTCTTTTCAAAGCGTATAGTTGACTGTCCTTCCTTCCTGCTTTATGTATCGTTTAAAGAAAGCTGCATAATCACATGAAGTCGTGAGGTTCTTTTTTATTTGGGGTTTTATTTCCTAGGTCCCATGTTCCACCTTCAGAAATAGGAGGATTCCTGAAGTTCAAAATAACATCACAGAGCAGCTGAAGGTCAAGTAAAAGAAAAGAGGTGTGGTGTGACAGGATAGTCTCTCTCACATACACACACACATATATAAATATATCTCAGACCAATAATTAAGAATTACTTATTTAACACTCTGAGGGGCCTACACTTTTCTCATCCAAAGCTGGGGCTACAGGAAGGTATCCATTAGTGTACTTCAAAACCTGTTCTGTGAGCAACATATGGCATCATATCAGGTACAGGTTACTAAAGCTCAAGAAATGCTCACTAGTCTCTTCTGCTGACCTTATAGGTAGTGCCACCTGGCACTCCTGCCTGTGGAGAATACAGAATGAGGACTTAAGGAAAAGTTCTTTAATTATAACTCTTATTAACAATAGTTTTTAAAAAAAGAGTTGAAAGAATCTACTCACCTCTGTATGTTGTACCTTAGTATGTAAAATTTGAATTGTATTTGAAGTAAGAACTGACAACTAGCTGACAAATGAGTGAGAACTTTTTTGACTTCTTTTATTATTTTCCGTCTTTCTGTCCTTTGAAAGCTGTTCTTCTAGATTTGTCCTGAATCCCAGTTTCTGCTGTTTTAGGCACCTCGTATGCAGTACATTCATTCTGTTTTAGTAAGCTACAGTAAATCAATGAACAGCCTCATCATTAATACAGTCTACCATTCATAGTTACAAGAAATATATCAAGTCTGTTTAGGTCACCTCTGAATGTCACTGGCTGGTAGGAGGCATGGAGTAGAGGAGAAAGTTATATATGCATGCATTTCTGTTAATTTTTAGAGCACAGAAAAAAGCTGCAAGCTCTTATGTGTGAGCATCAGGTTTAAATATTTATCTGTCTTAATCTGAGCATATTGGTTGTGTGTATGTGTGTGTATATATGTATGTATGGCTTTGCTGAGGGAAATGTTAGGCTGAAAAAAGGATTATTTCTGTGGAGACTGTCTGTGTGTAGTTCCTCACCATTTCTTTAGTCTAAAGCCAGCTCCATTCTTTTCTTTGTTGCTAGTTTCTTTGTGCTCTTGGTGTGTGGTTACTTTGAAGATAGCTACAATGGTAACAGTGAGTATCCTCTGAGGTCAGTCTAAATCTTGTAGCATAGTACAATACAGGGCTTCCTGAGTAGATTTATATATTCATGCAGCTCACCACAGTTCTCTGCAGAGATAACACATGAGGCCTTGAAGCAATTTGATGTTGTAAGCACAGCATTACTCTGAGCTAATAGGTTTTGCCTCTCAGCAAAGCTAATTGCTTTAGATAAAGCAGCGAACTGATGAGATTTTACGGTCTCTGGTGCCTGAGCAAGCCTGGTCACCATTAATGCTACTATCTGTACTTCTAGTGTAGTGCAGTTAATACAGAAACCTCTATGCAGTACTCTTAATATTTAGCATTTCCTGTCTCTCAGCTGAGTAAATACACTCAAGTGCTGAGATTAAAAGCTTATGGCTCTCTTGTCAGGGGGGGTATTTTGTTTTGTACCCACTAGCATTTCTTAAAGGTGCTTGGTTTTCTTGCTCTACTGTAGCTCCAAAATCCAAGGTAAAAAATGTCTGTCTGAACCTACTGAATATCCTCAGGAGCTCTACAAGCTAAAGGATATTTATCTATATAAAGATCTGTTTATATGTGCAGAAGCTCTTTGGAGGTCAAAATGATTCCGCAGTGGCTGATTTGTTTAATAACTGAAGATAACGTGCCTTTAGTGCTAGGGTTTGCTATAAAATAGGTTAATTCATTTGCACTGCTGGGAGCAAATATTTATTTGTGTGCTGGTCCCTCTTCTCATGCAACAACAAGAAAATGACTGTTTTGTTTTACTAGGCATCTTTAGATGGGTGTACTGAGAGTTTTTGTTGCTGTTTCATCTTGCACTGGCTCACCCACTCTGACAGCTAGAGATTTTTAGTGTATCTAGTTTGTAGTTATGCTTTCCCTTAAGAGAACTTCACCAGCTCAAATGCCTTCTGCAGCTTGGGAGGGGTGCTCTTTTGTCAGCTCCTCCTGTACCTTGTGCTGTTCTCCAATACATGGTTCTAGTTAGTGTAGCCATCTGGATGAAGTGTCTGACTCGCTGCTTTCAGTGTTTGCAATTTCTGTGGCTTATTCATAATCATTTCTTTTGCTGAGAATGACTAAAGAACCTTTTGATTTTGTTTGTCCGTTTGTCTTCTGTGGGATGAATGTAAGAGTCCCTTTTCCAACCCATTCATCAGTCACGTAAACATGTTGCTTGGCAAGGAAATTTCACAATTCTGTAATGCAGCAAACAGGAAAGTCCCCATCTTTGTCATTTGACCAGCATTTTAACTTATTCTGCTATCTGAATTGAACATCATACCTCAGGTGCAACAACAGAACTGTTAAGGGTAACAATATTCATGTTTTGCCTTCTTCCATGCCTATAGAGCTGTCGATTTTATTTTATTTTATTTTAATTTAATTTAATTTTATTTTATTTTATTTTTTGGCCAGGTAAAATGTCCAGGAATAAATGCAATTTAAAGTGTCATCTGGTTCTCCTGTATTCACTATTTTATTGATGAACTTAAAGAGCTGTTATAGACTTATCAGGCACAACTGTGCTTGTTAGAGGTTGATTTTGGTTACATCCTATCTTACTGTAACCTAAATATGCTAGTGTAAAAATGTTGCAGGAGGTGTTGGTGTGAGGGACATAACCTTGATCTTTTTGAATGAAGTGTTTATGTTTTAGGAAGGCTGGTCTGCTTGGGCAGAACTTAGAGGTTTCTTTAAAGGAAACATAAAACTTTTCAAGACTTATTTGTGTCACTTTCTTTCCTGCTTGTAATTACAATATTCTAGTCTGAAACTCATGATATTGTTAATTCAGTTTCTGCTTTCCCGGCTGCTTGCTGAATAGGTTTTAAGCACAAGTCCTTACTAATCAGCCTTGTTTTCTGTAATGGAGAAAGAAGAATATGTTTTCCAACCCACTCTATTCTGTAATTCTATGTTTCTTGATTTTTCAGAGTGAGTATGTCCTTGTGATCCGTTAAAGAGGATCCAGAAAGTTATTAACAGTGGAAGAGTTCTATCCATTGCTTACTGTGATATTCACATTATTCAATTTTCAATAATGGGGCAAAATTAGTTTTCTTACTCTGACATTTGTAGTTTCACAACAAAGAATTATTCATGAAATCCTTATGGATGGGTTTGGTTTTTTTTTCCTCTCTGTGTTTGGTACAGTTTAGAAAATGGTGTTTTTTCTAAAGCTGTATGTATATATTAGTACTAATCTCTTTCCTATTAAACACACGACTTGAGGCAACCTCTGTTAGCAATATTCTTTTTTCTTAATCAAAGAGTAGTAAGTGTTACTTTTCAGCTCATTATTACACTTATTTAAATCAATTCACTATTAACTGTGTGCACCTTTAACATTAACTTTCAAATATTCTGAAAGTGAAACTTAGTTGAAGGATTGCATATAGGTACTATGCTGAAAAAAACACATTTGATTTCAATATGAGGAGTTCTGTCATATTACTGTGTTCTGAGAACTTAAAGAATATCTATGTTGTCATTTCTTTGTATATTTCTGGGTGATATCTTTCAAATAAAAGCATTTTAAAACCATAAGATACTGTTGAAAATGAGCATTGTGAGGAGAGAGGAACTAACAGTCTCTGGAGCTCTGTGTGCAGAGCCATGATCCTCCTCTCTCTTGGATATAAACTGAAGAGTCCAAGATATGTTTTCATTTTCTTTCCTCCTCACCTTCTTGCTAGTCACCTAGCAGATCAATAGGATCTCTGTCCTTTCCTCCACATTCTTCCTTGCTGCTTGTTTATCTCTGTGGGACTAGACTGAACTTTTCCATCTCCCTCAGAGTACTGCCAGGCACTTACCCGTTTCTTTTCTCTTACGATGGTTTGAATATGACCTCCTTCTGTCCTCTGTGTAGATGGCAGATAGCTTTGTCGGCTGTTGTTTTCCAGCCATTTGAATAGCAATTCGTACGTTTTTGTGGACATTTGTAGAAATAGCTTGTACGCAAGGCAAATTAACTGTGCCTGAGCAGCTGGATATTTATGACCCATTAACAAGTGCTGAGTTTTGAGACTTTCTCAAATGATGATACAGAGCTGAAATACTGAGCACTAGGGACGTATTTGATACCTTGGTGCTTAGCAATTCAATACCATTTTTTTTATGCTTTAATATTACATTTAGTGGTGTGTTTGGAAGTGCATTTTGCTTACAGAATCAGGCTCTTTGCTGTGTGTCTTGTGCTGCTATTACATGTAGTATCTCTGGATGGAAGCATTATTGTTCTTTGCATTAGCAGCTTCCCCATCAAAGAAAACTTAAGACTACTTTTTTATGCTTCAGTGATAGCTAAGTAACTTAAGATAACTGTATGTAACCAGAGCCTTTGACATCTTGATGCTCTAGTTTGCAGTGCTACAAAATAGAGAGGAAGAAAAACGGGTACAGTATTTGCAGATGAAGAAACTGAAGGGCTAGGGTTACTCACATGACTTTTCCAAGGGTAGAAAGCTGACCAATGGAGAGATGATCTAATGCCAACAGAGATATTGCCTCTTCTCTAAACTGATTAGGTGAAAATTTTATTTTCTTTGTGACTGATGCTTTGCTAAACTGTTCAGCTTTAACTGACAATTATTCTGCATATGGATGCTCCATCCCTGGCAGTGTTCAAGACCAGCTTGGACGGAGCTTTGAGCAACCTGGTCTAGTGGAAGGTGTTTCTGCCCATAGGAGGGGGGCTGGAACTAGAGGGTCTTTAAGGTCTCTTCCAACCCTAACCATTTCATGATTCTATGTTATGAACTCAGCCACAAAGTCACCATGCTTATTTTGGGCTGATTTCTACAGTACCAGTTTTTCTTAAATATTTAAAAATACTGTTTGGGATTAAGGAGGTGATCAGTGGAAGAAATAAAAATGCATTAATCAAACATTTCTAATTCTTAAAAAAAGAATTGCATTTGTTTAAAACATCAGATCTGCAGGATCCTGCTTCTTTCTTTTACCTGTTAAATTTGATTCAATCCTCCTTTAGCCAGAGTGCAACTTCTGGTGGCAAAAACAGGCTAGTAGTTGGGAGCTATTTAAATTAGGAGCTGAGAACGGCAGGCAGGTGTTGAGTGTTTTGGTCAGACACATTAATAATACAGAAATAATTTTCAGCCTTTTCAGCCTAGTAAGGAAGAGGATGGGGACACACAGCTGAACTGGAGGAGGAACAGATGGAGATCGTGGAGTTAAAATGTCAGAGCACAGAAGTAAAGTGAGTATGTCAGACTAGACTCTAAAAGAAAATGACTGCCATTGTCTCTACACCTGCGCGAGAGGCTAGAAAGCAAGACGAGATAAACTCCTTTGTCCATTGTTACTGAGGCATGGCAGAATGACAGGAATTGATGGACATTTGGGATTCCTGACTGCTGGCTGCATGTAGGACAGATTAGGTCATAGATCTGAGGGAAGCTGTTCTGTGCTTCTGTAGAACCAGGAAAGGGGGCATATGACAGACATACTGGCCTGACTGCTTTTTAATGCTGTCTTGTATGGTTATTCCGCCTCGTAATGTATTCATTCAAAGAAGCAGGGTTAAGTTTGCAGATGTAGCCTAGGTCTTATGCCTCAGGAATATTGCAGTGCTGGCTTAATGTTCAGTTAATACCAGATTGCTGTTTTCAGTGGGACTGTAATAAATGTGGTGTGCAGAAGGCTATGTGGGGAAGCTTGAGCAAGAGTGAAGGAATGCAAGATTTTCTGCTCTTGTGGGTGATCTGTCCTGTATGTAATCAAGTTGCTGACAGTTTTCCTAATCAGTATTTCATTTTTACAGAGAGCTACTCTGCCTCTGCCATGGAGTTTAATAAAGATGCTTTTAATGTGAGCCTTGTCTTCCTAGCAGGATACTGTCTGCCTTTTACTGGATGAATCTGGGAAAAGTAGTTATGGTGAAAGATACCCTAGGGCATGAGACACTAATTGTGCAATTAATGGGAGATGCTGCCTTACACAAATTATTCTTTTCCAGAGGCATTGAATACTCTGTAGTTCCATATTAGAAAATGCCCCATGCAACTGTTTGTGTTATTCTCTAAGTGCTGTTTGTCTCTCATAGTAGGTTGAAAACCTTTGCTGTAAGAAACGCAGTAAATAGGGAAAAGAATCTGATCCCTGGAGAACTATATTATGCTGATTTCCCCTGATACATGAAGCTGGTGTTTTCTTAGTAGTAATTAACATTTATGACTTCAGTCCCTAAAACAAGCAAACAAACAAAAAAAACCTAACCAAACAAACAAAAAAAACCCCAAACCAACACAAAAAAAAAAAAAAATCAAGTCCCCAAATAATGTTTGGCTGGAACCATAGATAAAATGGCCCATGGCTGTCTGAGACAGTCCGGTAGTCTCTGGGACCTGGGAATAGTCTCCAAGCACTGTTACTACACACTGCAAAAAGGTCCTGCTGTGTCATATCACTCCTCATTTATCTCTAGGTGGAGAGATATAAACTGGTATAGTTCAAGCATATTTTTGTGTCTTATCTAGCAGCTCCATTTCTAGCATGTTCCTGGCAGTCGGGAGGGAGCCTGACATTAAATAATTGAAGAGCTGTGGAACTGGGATGGTGCTTCACAGCTAGCTGTGGCCTGTTGCTTTCCTAAGACTGAGGTCTTTCCTCTGTGTGCCCATGTAAAAATAGGACAATTACACAAGCAGTGTATAGCATGGTACATTCTTTCTTACTCTGGAATTCAAATACAGATGGAGAGTTGATAGCAAAAAAAGAAGAAAAACCTGCTAACCTTTTATTCTTGCATTATTCATATACACTTTAAACCATAAAAGGTAATTTGCTGAACACATACTCTCAATTTCTGGGTAATGCATGAGTAGCTCAGCAGCCACAGACGACTAGGTTGATGCCTCCAGCTAGCTATTCAAACATGAAATGTTACCTTGAAAGGTTTTAGGTTTTTTTTAATTGTAATTGAAACATCATTTTCTAAATAGCTTTCCATTTGACCATCAGGAAGAATGTTTGAAATCAACTGGGATCTCCTTAGGTATTAACCAGTCCTGATAGCAATGGTAATATTACGTAACATTTAGCATATTAATCTGGTTTAATGTGTCCATATGTAAATAAAACCAGTAATAATTTCTAATTTCTATTTTTAATTAGCGATATAAAACTCATATGGCTTTAAAGAAAGGTACTGATTTTAAATACTAATGCAGTTTTCCTAGCTTTAAGTGCTGGAGAAATTCTTTGCATTGCTAGTGCAGATGAAGGTTTTTTTCATGCATAACCTTGTTCATGACTCAAAATGAATATTTTAAGAAGTAAAGCATGATGTTGTTGCAAGTCTGCACTGTATACTTGGGTAGTCACCTCCTGAGGTTGTAAAAGGAAATATAGGCAGGTTCTTTGGAAAGAACAGGCCTTTCTTCTGACATTGACAGTAAGAGATAGTCATACTTCTGTGGCTACCTGAGGAAAAACTTGTGTACAGTGAACTGTGAAAGGAAGGAAGGGTGGTTTTCCATCATGGGTAAAGGATTCAGAACGGATCCTCAAGAGAGTGAAACAGTCCACATTTGTCCAAGAGCAAGAGTGAGGGGCAGTACATGAGTTATGGGAAAGACAGGGGTAGCATAACACAGGCAGAGCTTGTATGCTGCTGGACCCTGTAAGGATGGCAGGATCCTGAGGAAAAGCAATGCAAAACTCGTCAGTTCTCATGTAGGAGTCATTGCAGCAGAGTCACGCTCTGTTTAAATCAGAGATATTAAAAGTCTGTTTCATAAAAATCAAGGCAGAGGTTAGTGTGTTGGTTTTGATTTGTTTTTTTTGGTTTGGTTTGTTTTTTTCACTAGTAACAGCCTAGGCAAGTTCAAGGCCACCAGTGCTGTCAAAGGAGCAATGCTTTGTAACCTTTGAATAAGTGGGTGACTGTGATACAGCTTGAATTTCATATTGTTATAGTTTCCTTGAGTAATGTGTGAGTGCAAGATGTGGATTTGACTTACAAGGTTTAGTAACTCTCTCAAATCTAGAGGTAACAAGTTCTTCTGTACACAAACTGTTCATAGACTGAATGGCATCAAATTATGAAGGTTTCTTTCTATTAGTTGGGGGGAGCTAGAGCAGGTAATTTAAAAAATACATTATTTTTTTCTGAAGAAATGAGAGTCCCTATATACCATTACTGTGTCTGTAGTAAGGGCACTGGTAGCTTCCCTTTATAGTTCTATAGGGGAAAAAAAGTATAATTAAGGCTTTTCTCTAACTGGTCTGATTTTTTTTCCTGCTGACTTAAAGAGGATCCAGGAGTTTTGAATATTTTTTTAGCCATTACAACAAATAGATGAATTTTCAAGGATCCGTGTGTCCTGCAAGAAAACTTGGAGGAAATTTCACGAACAGAAAAAAAAATCAGAGCATCAGCTTCTTGTTTTCTTGCACTTGCCCTTGTTGTTTGTGCTTCATGCATGCCAACGTGTGATGTCAAATAATGTAATCAGTATCCGGTTTAGAGTATCTGTTATTATTCAGAAGTGTTTTATTCACTTGAGGATGTTAGGAAAGTTTCTGAGAGGGAGCGTTTTTTTTAAGTAGGCCCTTAAGCAGATCAGTTATGATTAACATAAATATTTCAGTTCTCTCAGGTGCGTCCCATGCTTGCAAGGCAGGCTCTGTGGCAGGTAGCAAAAAAACGTCTGCCACTAGCAATGCCATTTCGCCTCTTATGACCAGTGCAGGTTAGAAAAACCTCAGAATGGAAGTTCGTTATCTTCCTGTTACAGTGAACAAGAGATGCACAGCCACCCCGTGTGTGTTCTGTTTGGATCAACATGATGACTAAAAGATTGCAGTTAAGCTGTAGTCCTTGTCCTGTGTTCTATATTCCACCACAGTATGTGCTCTGCAACTTCTAATCTTAACAGAAGAGAGGAGGAAGGGTGTGAGCAGTGCTGATAAGTGCCTGCAATTATTTTTGTACGTTAAATCCTGCCTGAAATTTGATTAATTTGCCCCTTTTGGTGTAGTGTGCAGTGGGACTTGTTCATTGTTATCTTTTCACACTGTTTTTCATTAACGTATTGTACCTGACTCCTAATAACCAGGACGTTTTAATGAGGTTTCTGAACACATATACAGAGAGAGGTTATTTCAAATAAGGTATAGCAAGCATGAAATGAATTTTTAAAGTTTTTAACAGGAAGCTATTTTTTTTTAATGTGTAACAGTGTTTGGAGGGAGGGACTGGTGTCAGGTTTGGTGGGGTTTGTTTGGATGTTATAGGGTATTGTCTGTGGTTTGATGTTTCTTCTTGGACATATTGGAAGCTTTTTTTTTTTTTTTTTTGTGATACTTGAAGAGACAAGGAACATATTTAGGGTCTATAAAGCAGCTTCTGAAAGAACCATCACAACTGACACAAATACCTTTTTCCAGCTAAAATTTTCTTTACTCTTAGGTAAGTATAACCTATCTAAATAAAGGAACCAAAGTGCCTCAATATCTTGATTCAAAGAAGCCTAGCAATGCATCTTGTGATGAACACATTGGGTGACTGGATTCCACGGGAGAGTATGTGATCAAGATTGGAGTGATTGCCACAGTCTGGCAGTTTAAGTTTTGGATGGAATTGGGGTGATTAAAGGGGAAAAATCGGGATTATATTTGGGTAGCTTTTGAAGAGGAAAATACAGGAAGTCCATAGTGTTTGGAAATGTTGAAATGTGGTTTTGGTAATTACCTGAGAATTGAGATACCTGCTTGTTGAAATGTGCATCTGTTTGATACCTGCACATCAATAGCTTGCTCTCTGACCATTAGAAACGCATCGCTACAAGTAGAACAAAACTTCGTATTTCTATTTTCTGTGCAGATGAAATTCTCACTTCCATGAAATGGTATACCAGTGCCTAGAATGCAATACTTTCCATATAAATAGCCATGTGGTTGTGCTTGCTGACTCGTGCTGCCACAGTCATGGTCTTGGTGTTTTACTGTAAATTAGCCATACTGTTATGCTGTGGGTGCTTGTGGTATGTTGTCTTCAGTGTTTATACTCCCCTCACAGTGTGTATTCTCACTCTCTGTATTTCTAGATAGTGGAAAAAGAGCCCTAACAATCTTGAGTCACAACACAGCAATTGCTTGGGTGACACTAGCTGTTAACTAAGCTGGAGGGAGAAGACTGCGCAAGAGTGTTACTCAGTGCTCTATAGAGTGTGATTTCAGGGGATCAGGGTTTTC